TATTAATAAAAATATTATTTAATTATTAAAATATTAAAAATATTATAAAATATATTAATTTAATTGTTTAAAATATAATAAATAATTATAATTATTATAAATTATGTTATTTTAATTATTTTAAAATATTAATATATTCAAATTAGGTCGAGATCGATATTTTAGTCTAAAAATATAACCAAGGCGAGATCAGATTTTTAATATATATTTTCAAGTCAGAGCGGTAGAAAAATCGCCTCGTGCCATCCTTACCTAACATTTATAACACATAAATTTAATATTAAAAAAATTATTATTATTATTTTACCACGAAAACCACTTCATTCTTACTATAAAAGATTTTAAATGGCTCTCGTGACATTCATTCACGTGAACAGACATTAATTACTAATACTAATTTTTTTTTCGTAAGAAATTAATAATAGTTTCCTCTGGGAGGCTCCTTTTTCCCTATTTTCACGCAGAGAATATTTAAATCAACAAAGCAAAGTAGTGTTGACTGTATAGAGGGAAATGTCTATGTAGTTGGTGGGAAAAATCTATGCCTCTTTTCCTTTAAGCTGTCATCCACAGTTTAAAAGAAACAACAATAATAATAAAAACAAGGGTTCGAGATATTTTCATTTATCTAACATAGTCGACAAAACTTTTAAGATAATATTCTGAAATAAATTAATTTACGAGTTAATCCATTCTCAAGATTAATTGTTCAAATAGGATGAAATTTACAGTATTGGTCGTAGGTCGCCATGCACTCCGGACGACCTTGTAGGTCGCCATGCACTTCGGGCGACCATGTAGGTCGCCATGCACTCCTGGCGACTTACCCTTGCTCAAACAGAGAGAATGAACGTGTTGCATGGCACATGCACGTCCCAACACATAGGTCGCCATGCCCTCCGGGCGACCTTATAGGTCGCCATGCACTCCGGGCGACCTACCCTCGCTCGGCTTCTCTCGGATTCCCTCGCATAGCTCGCTCGGTTGCCCTCGGATGCCCTCGCATAGCTCGTTCAGATGGCCTCGGTCAGATGGCCTCGGATGCTCTCGGATGGCCTCGGATGCCCAGCGTGTTGGGACGTGCATGGCACATGCAATCTCTTGTAGCTCATCGGGAAGACATGGCGACCTAGTAGGTCGCCCGGAAGGCATGGCGACCTAGTAGGTCGCCCGGAAGGCATGACGACCTATGGCCAACACTGTAGATTTCACCTTATTTGAGTAATTAATTTTGGGAGTGCTTTATCTCGTGAATTAATTTTTTCCAAAACATTATCTCGAAAGTTTTGTCAACACAGTCGGTATTAAACTACGATTAACTCTTTATTTTTTCAGTAAATATATTCATATATTTTATTATTAGTCTCGATCATTTATTTGAATTCATTCAATAATTTTAAATATGTATAAAATTAAAATAATTTTACATTGTGTAATATGATCTTATCTATCCTTATATATATATATATATAAGGATGGTAACGGGTCGGGCTAGGATCGGATTTTTGGTCAACTTGACATGACCCGAAAATATACACCCTCCACCCGAACCCGGCCGAAAACTTTTTTATCCTACATCCGATCCGACCTGAAAAATATATATATACTCCACTGACTCCAACCATCCATATCTTATTTTTTTAATGTTTAAATCCAACCCAACTGACCTAGAATAAATTAAGGATTTAATTAAAAAATAATAAACATCTTAATAAAATTATGTTATTATCCACGGGTTGATCGGATCGGAGTTTTTTCACACTCCATTCGAACCCAACCCGATCCGATCCGATTTCACTCTTTAAAAAATATGACTCGAACGGGTCGGATCGGGTAAGAACCCGTCGGATGCAGGTGAAATTACCATCCCTATATATACTATAGAAATAATTATTCAAACCTATATTCTTTAAATTTTAAAAAAATAACATTACCTTTTATTAACGAAGCCATTAAATTATTCATCTCCTAATTATATATATGAAGGTGCATTCATTATGTGCAGCTTGTTGAGGCCGGCAGGTGGAGATTATTAAGTACCGAATTAAATCTCACATATACGAATTGCTCGCCATGCAATCAATTTACCACACCCATCGCCCATACACACTTGAGTAATTTCATTGAATCAATAACCGAGAATGTTAAAGGTACGACAACTTAATTTAAGACGAAAGAATGATGAAAAATAGACGTTATTGAAAATGTGGTAAAAAAAGTATAGTATTTTAAGTTACGTTCAACCGAAAATGTTATATTTTTTTATAAAAAAAATTTGTGGCGTCCATTCTCAATTGTTCTTTAACCTTAAGTTAGGATGTCATGCAATAGAATTATCTACCCATCAAATTAGGGATGGTAGACAGGCAGGGCGGGTACGGATATCTCTTCCCCCATTTCAAAACCCACTTAATATTTTTGTATTCACCACTTACTCACCACCCATGACGAGTAAAATTTTTAAATCATCATCCGCTGACGCAAGTACATTCTTAAATCCATCCCCACACCCATTAACTAACTGGATACCCACCGCTCATCCCAAACACATCTGTACCCGTCCATACCCACATATTTGAGATAGAAGAAACAAATGACTTCAATTTTAAAAATGGTTATACCATAATATTTGGTTACATTACATGTCATGTCCTATAAAATCCATATATTTACAAAATAATTATCTTTGAAATTATACATAAATTCATAATGATCCAAATTTTATATAGTGGATAGTTAGTGGACGGGCATATGCAGAGCGGGTAAGGTCTTAAACACATCATCTACCCACTACCCACAGCGGATATGACTTTCTACATCCACTCCCGTCCATTACCAACTAAAACTTATATCCATCCCCGCCCTAATGGGTATAGATACAATACAAAATTCACGAAATTATATCCGTCTGTCATCCCTTCCGATCACTATAATATTAAAAGTATAAAAACTTTATCCGACTAATATAATTAAAATATCACTTTATTCAAAAGGAAAACATCATTGGATATTGTGTAATCATTAATGATGGAATCACATATGATCATATACCACCCCCACTAATTAAGAGAATTCCTCATTTTCACAAGAATGAAAAATACATGGATTACATTTTACCATGTCCCCCCCCCCCCCTTGAAATTAAAGCTAAATTAGTAATGATTAATGTATTCTTGCAAAAAAGCCTAAAATTGGTGTACTATGATTTAGCAAAAAGCTTGCCCTAAAAGTGATGCATGCTGGGGTGAAATGATTGTGGGTGGAGAAAAGAACCGAAAGAAGCCACAAATATGACTATCCAGCTCAGTTGGTAGAGCACAATGTTTTTAATTTTGAGGTCGTGAGATCGAGTCTCATGGAGGGCGTTTCATAATTTGAAAGTCTCCTACGGAGCTGCTCTCAACCTAATATTAGAGGCAACCTACTATCTTATCTCCTCTTTATCCCATTACAGAGAACAAAGGCCATTTTGTTGGAGACACAAAGGTCTTGGGGTTCACATAATTAGCTTGACAAAATGATCACGAACAGAAATCACCACTTCTCTCTCCTCTTTTTGTTTGAAAATGGTGATGTTAAAGTGATTGGAAAATGATGTGGGGGATCCATTTATTGTCGATTAATTAATGGCAATTTGACTAAACATCACCCATCTCATGTTAAGGGTTTTACTTTTCTCTTTTCATCAAGGATTCCTAGGTAAGATACTTCACCCCAAGTAGTTTCATTTGCGAAAGCATCGTCTCCTCGTTTTCACCAAATTTTATAACTCTAAAATACACATGCAAACGAAACGAACGTTCAGCGAATCGTTCGGTGAGAAGTTAGTTTATCTATTAAACGAACGAATACGAATAAGATTTTATGTTCCTTTAATTAAATGAACGAACACGAACAAATGTCTTGTTCGTTCATTTATGTTCATGAACGTTTGATAATCCATTCATTTATTTCCGTTGCTTATGTTCGTTTATATTCAGCTCGATCTCCACACCCATTTAAAACTCAAGTAATTTTATCTCTGAAGTCGTAGGTTATATTATATTAATGAATAATGGATTTTATGTGGTTATTGCTATTGTTATTTACGTTTGTTTAAATTCATTTATTTTGTTCGATTATGTTCATTTATTATGTTTGTGCATGTCCGTTTACGTTCGTTTATCATTTAAATGAACGAACACGAATAAGAAATTTTATGTTCCTTTATGTTCGTGTTTGTTTGTTTATTCGATTAAAGTTAAATGAACGAACACGAACATACTCATTCATATTCGGTTCGTTCGTTTTACCGGCCTACTCTAAAATATTCGTGGGTTCAAATGGAAAAAGGAAGGTGCGCCTATTAATTCCATATATACAATAATACAATACATGATTTAATATTTCCAATGAAAAATGGATTTAAGATAATTTCATTAATAGAGAAAAGAAGTTCAATCTCTTTTTCATTTATCAAATAAAATCTCTGGATCGTATAGATAGGTTAAACAAATAAACCGAGAAACTCAAAAACCCGATTCAAGCTAGACTATTCAATTCGGTTTAATTCGATTTTTTCAATTCACGATTAAATTTGATTCGATTTTAAAAAATAAATATACAATTCAATTTAATTTCAGCTTTTTCAATATAAAACTCGTTTCAATCGAATGAAACCAAAATAAAAAATATATATACAAAATATCCAAAAACACATACATTTCAGATTTATTTTAATATATATTTAAATAAATAAAACATTAAAACTAATACTATTTATTTTTTAAATTTAAATTTATATATTTGCACTCGATTTAAAATTTGGAAGTTTAGTTCGAAAAATAGTGGACAAAAAAAAACCACTGAACCGAACCAAAAACCATGATTTTTATGTCATTCAGTCTCGATTCACATTTTTAAAAACCCACAATATGTGATTCAATTCGTATTTTAGTGAAAAACCGAACGGAACCAAATACACCCCTACGCATAAGTACCTTTTGGCAGTATACCCCAAATTCACTGATCAGATGACTGCAAGTGTTCATCTGGTTTTCTTTACTACATCCACTGTCTTATACATGAATGACAAAACAAAGAACGATAACTTAAAAACACGACTTTCTCGAAAAAGAAAATACTCGAGTCTCAGTTCGAGTCGTTAACTATTAATATACAACATAGGGTAAAGACACAAAATCGATTAAAATGCAACACAAGCTTTGCCTTTCATTGATATTCCTGCATACGGATCGACCGACAAATATCACGAGGTTGCTCACCGTGGCTGCTGCTGATGCCCGCTATCAGTACCTTCTTCCATCTCGTCTGCATCCTCAAAGCGTTGATCGTTGATTTGAAGCTGCAAGTTTTTCAAGAAAGGTACAGAATGAATGCAAGAGTTTAACCGGTGACATAAAATTTGTTTTAGACAAAAATTGTACAGGGAAAGTTAACATGAAAACAAGACATCTACACTGGAAAGTTTTCCGTTCCAAGAAAGTTTCATTTAGTCGAAATTCGAAGCATTAGCTTTGATCATGTAGAGTGAACAGCAACTAACTAGCATACCTCAAGCACATTGCGAGATAGGTCATGATGACCATTAGAATGACCGATTGTGTTCGCCGGATTCTGGGACAAATTCCATTCCACGCCATCGCTCTCTGGCGATACAGTATGGAATTAGGGATTTACAGAACATGTGAGCGTATAAAGGAAACCGTTGAGAGGCATTCAAGAAAGTATCCATGTAGTCTATTCCATACCTTCAGCTCCATCTTCCAACTGATCAGCACTGAAAATCCAGTTATGCCCTTCTTCTTCTAAATACAGAATAAACAGAAAACAGTACGCTTCAGTCAACCGAACAAAAATGCCAGTACAACAGAAAATGGATTTTCAAATTAATAACCGGAACTCACCTTCGACAGGCTCCGGATTCAGTTCAGCACACTCACATAATACTTGAAACAGTGTATCCACTTTTTACAGAAAAAAATAGATAAATGAGTCGGCATTTATTATCACAGAAGTCAGAAATAATCATCTACGAACTAAATACTGAATCATACACACATTGGCTAGCATCTGAAGGAATAAGCCTCATCTCTCTGATCTTGGATAGATCTAAAACCTCACTGCATTCTGAATCCGAGTCCTCCGGCTCATCTTCCACTTCATCATCTTCTGTTTCAATCTTCAGGAAAAAAAAAGGCATTAATCACACGATGTATGAAGGAAATGAAAAGAGTATGCTAACAGAAGACATGAAAAACCATCGCATCAGCATTTTCAAAGGGATGGAAAGGAACAATAGAGGTCTCTTAGTAAATGAGAAAAACATGTGCTAAAAGCACTTAATGAGAAGCAAAAACATCAAATATCGCCATTGAAAATACACAGAAGTTATAAAACTGCATTTAACATATTAAAACTATGATGAAAAGATTTTAATTTTGTTTCAACCACGGATTTTAATGAGACCAGATTCTCTTTTCTTCCAAACAATATTAGGCTGGCAGCTACTAAACCCCCCCCCCCTTGAATTCAACTCTTCTATTTTACTTACAGCCAAGCAATCCAACAGCCACAGAGGCACAACAACCAAGCTATTGAATACATGAGCATGATTAACAGCTAAAATAGTCATAAAGATCAAAGAATTAAGGAAAACAAAGTGGAGTTATTTTTCCGAGCAGACCAAATAATTCGAAAACCTGAGTGTAAATACAGGGAGAAGAGTAGGCCTCGGGGTCCCTTGAAACGGCGTGCAACGACAGAGACAAGAAATCAACGGCGTAGCCCTTTGTTCTGTCCAAATCACTCAGCCAAACGACTTGCCTACCAAAAAAATCATAAATTACAGCTTCAATTTGTAATTGAAATGAATATGTTGTTCAGAAGCAAAATTTTTTGAGTAAATGAAGGTACCTGGTAGTGATGTAGAGAGTGCCCGGGGATTCTGGGGCACGATTTCCAAGTGCAACGGAGACGGAAGGTTGGACGTTAACAAGCTCCTCGCCGTTATCCGTGTCCAGAACTGGCTCTCCGGCACCGTTTCCAGTCCTCGCCGTGAACTGCCTAAGCCCTACCGCCATTATCACTGCTTTTGCTTTGGTTTGATGTGGGTTTTTTCCTAGGGTTTTCAACTTTACTGAGTAGAGGAGCCGAGAGGAATAATGGTCGTTGATGTTAAAAATAATAGTTGGATTGGACCGTTGGCTTGTGCTCCATCGGTTGTAGGCCCAAATATAACGCGAATTATATCGATTTGACAAATTAATCCCTCTATTCTAATTTATTAGAATTTGATACTTTAGTTTCATAAAATTGAAAAGTCAGTCTTGAATAATAGTTTGATAAGCCTTGTGATTAACTTTCTTTTTTGGTATAAACCACCGATTTTCGATCTATTGATCGACTAATCCTGATCGGATACTATAAAGGGGAGGGCGACCTTTTCAACCTGGTTTGCTCCATTAGTAATCACCAATATTTGAATCACTGACCTTACTTAAGGAATCTAGTATCTCATCTCACTAGACCAGTCGGTTGTTGGTGATAAGCCTTACGATTAATCATTGACTTAACAATTAACGCTTTAAGAAGTTATATAAAAAAAATTCAAAATCAATAAATTTAACAATTTATATGAAACAAACACAACCCAGTAGTTCAAATACGTGAGTTTACTAACGAGGAAATTATTGTCTCCATTTTTGCAACTACAATGACACATTTTTTTTGGCATTATAAAGGTACCAATTCAGTTTAAGAAAAGCTAATAATTCACTTTACAATAATTATTATCAGGTAAAATGGTAACTTTACCCATGTAGTAGATCCTATTTATCATTTACATTCTTATCGTATTTTCGTATTAATTTAACGTTCAATGTTACTTAATTGTATTAATGTTTAAAATATTTACTACTGAATTGGGCTTTAAGTTATGGATTAGTGTTAGGGGGTTAGGGTTTAGGGTTTAGAGTTTAGAGCTTTAAATTAGGTTCGAGTCGGGTCAGATTTTTTAAGGGGTGATGTCAGGTAGGGTCGGGGTCGGGTTCGGGTGGAGGGTGAAAAAACTCCGACCCGACCCAACCCAAGGATAATAATGTATTTTTAAAAAAAAAATATTAATTTTAAATTAAATCCTTAATTTATACTGTGTCGGGCCAGATTTATACCCAAAAAAGCGAGTGGGTCGAAATCGGGTCGAAGATATATATATTTTTCGAGTCAGGTCGAATGTAGGACAATTTTCAGATCATACTAAATTCGGGTGGAGAGTAAATATTTTCGGGTCGACCAAAAATAAACCCTAACTCGACCCGCTGCCATCTCTAGGTAGGGTATAGATGATGTAATTAAATAACTTTAAGAGATAATTGATCAAAAATACAATTAAAACGAAAATTATAAATTAAACTTGTTGCATGATAAAAATGACCCTTAATCCTTATTATTATTAAAAAATCTTTTCATATCTTTATATATTCTTCAAATAAAATAACTAAAAGTATATATAATCATAGATCGAATACACATTGGCTAACATTTATATACAATTTTATTTATAATATTTTATATAAAAAATAAGTGATACTTGCAACACATTAAACCATTATATGAATAGAGACAGTGTTCATCCAAATTAGTCGATCAATTAATAATTTAAAATCTTATTTCAAGGTTCATGTTTACCAGAACATAGGAATCGATGCATTTTTGATTAATTCTCGCTCCAAAAAGTTAAATTAAATGAAAAAAAGAAAATGGGTAGAATCGAATCAAACTAAAAATGAGTTCTTTAACTATCTCTTCAGACAACAAAACTTTTAACATCTATAAGTAGTCTTACATCAAGACATCTGAACCAGAACAGGAAAAATCAATCTAACTCCTATCGAGCATCGACATTGAAACACGAAGATCGCCGAAATTGCACGACCTGCATGCCGAATCTAAGCAACAAGAGTGCTGGCAGTTGTAGACTCACTGCAAACCAACGAGTTGTTGTGTCAGCATTGCAACATAATGCAGAAAAAAGAAACATACACAATACAGAATATAGGAAACTAAACTAGCATGTGCATTTCTCTGCTGAATAAGTTTTCAATATGAACTAATGCTGGGACTTGCATGATTAGATACAAGTAGGCATAAATAACATCGTTTACTAAATGAAGCTTGTGATTGTATTCTAAGTTTCTAACAACTCTGTTGAATTCCGACCTTCGAAATAGAGTTGAGCATCTTATGATAATCCCATCAAGTACTACAGAGAACTAAAATGGACCAGATATTCACTTGATTGAAAACCACAATATAAGACCAAGGTTAAGCAAGTATGTGATAACTTAATACACCATCTTAGTGAGCAAGACGAGCATAATATGCATAAAGGAGCAACCCAAACACATATAAGTTCACCGAAACGTAAATTATATTTAAACAATAACATTGAATGGAATTATAGATCAATATAGTATCCATCAGTAAGAAAGAACACAAGTATAAAGCTATGATCCAATAAGTAGACTTACTATTTCCAGACAGGAGGAAGCTTCTTTGTTTTCTTGTAGTAGCGAGCAAGTCTGTGAATCCTGCTCTCGACAAGGATCAACCTGAATTTGGAATCCTTGTCCTTCCTGTTTCTTTCCAAATGCTTGCGGATGGCAACAGCCTTCTTGATAAGGTGGTACAAATCCTCAGGAATTTCAGGAGCTAGACCTATCGTAACGATACAAAATAACAACACATCAAATATAACCCCAAAAATATGCTCCCATCTTAGAATAACAGATGCAAACCGTGGTGTTCGGTTCAGTTTCGATTCTGTTTTTGGTTCGGTTTGTAAACAATGATCGTTTTCCACACAAAATTCGAATCACCAGGGACAGAACTATTAAGGACGCGAGAGGGGGCACATCCCTCAAAATCTTGTCTAATGGCAATTTTAGTCCCAGTTAGTTTAAATGCTTGTCAAACTAAACCTTGCCCATCCCATATTTTGGAATTTTGGATTAATTGCTTATTAGGTACATCTAAATTCAGCTCCTCCCATTGTCTAATACTGGTTCAGTCCCCGGTTATCGCCCTAATGAATATTCTACAGCTAAATCATTATGCTAATCGGAATTCTTAAAATCAAAACATTGTGCTACAATTTACCGTGAGCCTTGAGGATACGCAAGATCTTGCTTCCGGTAACGCTCTTAACCTGAGCAATACCATGGGAATCACGAAGGATGACACCAATCTGAGATGGGGTCAGGCCCTTCTTCGCAAACTTGCAAATGTTATCTTCTACCAAAACAGATTCAACATCGAATAATTAAATAATTTTTTCATGGGGATTTCTGTCGGCAATGAATCTAGAAAAAAGGGGATTAAAGGACTCACATCTTGAGAGGAGATCTTGAGCCAGCTTGGTGGAGTTCTCTTATACGGCAGAGCTGAGGCAGATATACCCTTACTGCAACAAAGTGGAAGAAAACAGAATGTTAATAAGTGTACGTAAAAATACGAGTGCAGAGGGAGGGAAAGAGAGGGGTACCCGCGGCTATGCATGCGACCCATGGTGTCGGCGGCGGTGGTGGAGAGACTTCACTCTTTCCTGCTGAAATTTTTAAGTGGGAAAACTGGGCAGTTGGAAACGTGGCGCAAACGCAAACCCTATCTTCTCCTTTTTATGTACCTAAAATTTTTGTTTGGTAAAATTAGATACTTAAAATATTTAATTTTTTATTTAAGTACTTAAAATATTTTTTTATTAATATCACATATAAATATTTTTTAAACTTAGATGAAAAAATAAATATTTTAAATATTATTTAATTAAAAAATAAATTTCTATACTTATTTTGATTAAAAAATAATTTAAATATTGCAATGAAAAAATGTATACTTTAAGTTATTGTTTGTAGTATAAGCCTTCTTCTTTGATAATATTAATCTTATTAATATGTATTTTTATATTATTTTATATAACTATGGCTATAAAATAAAGATTTTTTTGGTATAAAGTAGGAATGGATATTTGGCCAAAATTCAAAGAATTTTGATTAGATTTTATAAAAATGATTTTTTTTAAAAATTTAAATATGTGTCAAGATTTATGTCAAAATTCGAGTTTATGGTAAAAAAAATTAACCCGAGATAATAGTTTAATTATCTCTTATATATTTAAATATTTTTGTTATAAGGGTAGATCATGCATTCAGTATCTAAATTATTATTTCTATTTTTTTAGTACTTAAAATATCAGTTTTTCCAAAACTATAATTAAAGTTTAGTTTTTATTTCATTTTAGTACCTATTAAAAAACTTAACGTTAAATTTTGAATTTATTTGAAAGTTTAGATATTAAAATAACCAAAATTTATAGTTTATATATTAAATACATTAAGTTTTTAACGGCATGATATTAAAATAAAACAAAAATTAATTAGGTATGGTTTTGAAAAAATTAAAAATTTATGTACTAAAACGGACTAAACTGATAATTTAAGTACTAAATGTATAGTCTACCCTTACTATAATACCTATATTTCTATATATTTTAATTATACCCTTATTAATTACTATATAATAAAAGTAATATATATATATATATATATATATATATATCGATGGTCGAGTTAGATTGCCCGTCCAGCTCAGTTGGTAGTGGGATCGAGTCCCACGGTAGGAAATTCATAATTCTGACTGCCGGATGTCTTCCACGGAAGCTGCTCTCAACCCGTTAGGAGCAGTCTACTACCTTACCTCCCCTCACCCCGTTATATATGGGAAAAGGGTCAACTAATTCGATGGTCGAGTTAGATAGTTAATATTTAGACAACCCAATTTACGTTTTGGGTTAAAGACCAATATTTCTTAGGCTCATTTTTACAAGATCCGACGTTTGATATAGCCCAAACCCAAGCCTCTGCCCTCTCTCTAACCGTGGCCCAACACAACACTTACGGCATCCCAGAAAAGAATTTAGGCAATTAGGCAGTTTGACTTTTAATTTAGGATCTAGGATATTTGTTACGGTGCATAAAACTTGTCACCTTAAGGTGATAAGTTTTAATAAAAAAATATTTTTTAAACTTTTACCTTGTTGTGATAAAATTAATAAAAAATTATATTTTATTAGAACTCG